AGTAAAATGCAGGGGGGGGGAAATTTTAAATTTAAAAAAAGTCCTCAAAAAAGAAAAAAAAAAAAAAAAAAATATATATATATATATATATATATATATATATATATATATATACACACACACACACACACACACCTTCTCTGGGAAAGTGAGAACAATCTTGTTTTTCTAAGCTTAAAATGTAAACTCCTTTGTTCAGATGGGTATAAAACCATCGGTCAAGAACTTCTGTATGGTTGTTTTGAGGCAACAGATCGGGATGCTCTGTGCCAGCCACATGGAGAGGCCGTCACTGCCATCACTGTGTATGTGACTAAACTATGCGAGAGTAATTGTACAAATTACTTTGCACAATTACTTTGTACTTTTACCTGATAGCATTATTTTTGTACTCTTTCCACCTCTGGTAAAACAAGATTCCAGGAGCCCTCGGATGAATGGACGACTGAGTCAGAAATATTTCATATATTTATGTATTTATTAATACAGTATATGCAGTGTTGTACAAACTGGCTGTGATTTTCGTTGTAATAAAACATGGTTTTATTGTAGTGTACAAAATAACTTTTTTTTTTGTTTTACATTTTACTCCAAGACTGAAAAGAAACTGGAAAGAAAAAGACTGTAAACTCAAGACAGGGGAAGAAATCCATCAATACAGCGTTGGTGTTTTTAATATATAAAACGCAATAAAAACAGCATAAATTTGTTCGTATAAGACTGAGAGGTCAGTTTTATATGAGTCCCAACAAAATGTGTTGGATATTTTTAAGGCAGACGGAGAAACCCTGTGGATGCATCTGTGGATTCAGGAGTTCAGGGGTTAATCTAGCGTCAGGGAGAGAACAAATGACAAGTACTATCAACACCAGAAAGTTTGATCTCTAGCCTAATAAAACATGGATGTTTGTTAAAAAAGTTTTTCAAGTCATAAAATTTTGTTCTTCTGCTTAAAGAAAAAAAACAATAAAGTAAAAAAAAAACAACAAACAAAAATGGTTTTATCACCAGAGAAAATATTAAAATTCAAACATTAAAATAACAGTTTGAAGAGTAGGGGTTATTGTACTATTACAAATCTACAATATAAGAATGACTGTTAAAAAAAACCTGACTTGTAAGTTTAATAATTTAAAATGTGTTAATTTGTGGATGTGGATTTTTAAAAATGTTTGCACCCAGAAACTGACCCTCCTCTGGCTTCAGATCAGTTTCATCCTCAGGTCAGCAGGACGTCAACACGCTTCACAGGAAGTTAAAGGAAATAAACAAAAACTGGGAAAAAGTTCACATTTCTAAACCGTCTCACTGTGGGTGAGCGACCCGCTGATCTCGACTCAAAACGAGACACAGATCCGCTCCATCCGAGACCAGCAGAACCAAGGCACGGCGGTGGAGGCATCATGATATGGGATGATCCTCTTACTGATGCATCACACCGTTTTATCACAAACAAGGAAACCGCTTTCTGAAGGTTCCCTTCCACCACAGAAACCAGAACGCCTTGACCTTTAACCCCTGTTGTTAAATGTGATACATTTAGTTGAATAAAAACTTTAATATTTTTTTCCGTATTTCTGTGGTCAAAAAGAGCAGAAAATGTTCAAAATAAGAAGAAAGTATTTAGTTTCAAGATGGCCGCCACAGAACCAGAAGCCAACTTCTGGAAGCTTCTGAGCAGATGTTTGGTCCAAAAATAATAATAGTAAAAAAATCAAGAGTACAAAAAGACACCCATAATATTAATAATACGTTCATTTTACAAACATCACCTTTACTGATCCGACGTTCCAGAATTATCTGCACCATGGTAATAAATATTAAAGTCGTAAAAAACCCACCATTAATTCAAATAAAATGAGGCGCGATTCATCCTGCGGCTGGTTTTCCATTCAGCAGCTGAAACTGGGATGAAGGGGGAAAACAGGCGACCCCGGTCCGACCCCAGGCTCAAACCTGTCCGCCACAAAGACAACAGGAAGGCTGGCCCACTCGCCTCCCGCCGGCCGGTCCCGATCCAGATCGGACGGTGGGCGAGCTTCCTCCCGGCCCGGTCGGCCCGTTTCTGCTCAGCTCTCGCTGTCGTCCAGCAGCCGGACGTGGGTGAAGGGGAAGTGGCCGTGCTTCCCGTTGCACTCGCCCTCCCACTGGCCGTTCACATTGATCTTCGTCACCTTCACCGTGTCCCCCACCTGAAGGAGACAGAACCAGACCAGCCCGTCGGACCGGAACCACAAACAGCTTCCGGGTACGACTCTACCAAACCGACCCAACAGGTTCACACTGCGCATAATTTGGTCGAGTTTCACCTGCATTTGATGCAAGACAAACAATTTACTAGCAACTTTTCAGCGAGAAATATGAGCTTGTTTTAAATTGATCATTTAAAACAATAATTTAATCTGCTAATAGAACTAATAGTTTTAGTTCTACTGGGAGATTATTTTACTTATAACCAGGGAAACGTGTTGTTATAAATAAAATAATCTGCCAATGGAACTGGGACTTATTCATCAATATTAAGGCATTATTTACTAAAAACAAGCTCGTATTTCTTGCTGAAAAGTTACTTATAAGTTAGTTTTTGTGTTTCAAATTATTTGCACTACAAACTAGACAGAGGTACTTGGTAAGAGTTTGTGTTTTTGCAGTGCAGTATTCAGAAGCTGCTTACAGAATATTTATCTGTGTTTTCTATAGAAGTGAGTGGGAAATAGCAGCTTACAGGAAGGCTTGTCCTGTAAATGAAAAACCAATCAGGCTTAAAGCTGCAGTTTGTGACTTTTACAAAAAATTCAAGTGGAAAACAATCGACCTGATTGGTTAGCATGCTAATGTTTATGCTTGGATTCACACATTGAAGATGTTTGGTTGCAAGTACAGATAGTTGTACAGACTGATTTTATGTTAAAACCGCCTGCCATAGACTGACTTTAGGACGACACTGTGGGTCTTTGGTTCAGACATCAATGTTAGTTTGTTCATCACTGAAAGAGTTTTGTTCCCGGGAAAAAAAGCCAGAGCACCATGAAGGTCTCCAGTCAGCGCTCCATTATGCCACACATTATAACTCCATTATAACCAGAGTTTCATTTGAAACACTTAAAAACCTGAAGGTTTTCTCTACATGTTTATTTCCTGCTGTATCCTCAGGTTTAACAGGAAGAAGCTCATTTATTGGATTCTGTATTTAGTGCAGAAGAGCACAGTAAATATCTAAAAATGAGTTCTGACTAGACACCACTACATTTGATTATCATAATTGAACTGAACTGTTAAATATCTGCACAAAGATAATTAGATACATTCAATTAACTGATATGTCTAGTCAAAGTAATTTCAGAATATAAGCTGATTTTAAGGTAAAACATGAAAAAGTGGCAAAACAGAAAATCTGCTAAATTTACAAATTTTCTTACCCAAATACTCATAAAAATAAGCAATAAATTGATTATTTTACAGATTAATTGTTAGACTAATCGATTATTAAAGTAATTGTTATCTGCAGTCTCACTTGAATTGCATCTTCCAGACAATTTAATGATAAATCTGAAGTCATTTATACTGGTCAGAATATTGTCAGCGATATCTTAATCAGCTTATATGTGTAGTCATAAAGTCATTTCAGATATCTGGATTGTAATGTGATTTTATGGTATAACAGCCTGCCATAGACAGCCGGTTCTAAAGGCTCTGTTCAGAACCGCCCTGTGAATGGACCTGTGTGCAGCTGCTGAAGGGAGACAGTGTGTGGACATGAGGACGGAGGTCTCCTACCTCCAGGGCTAGCGCCGTCTTGTCGTAGGCGTTGGGGACCCTCTTCTGGACGGCGCGGGCGTACACAGGGCCGTCCTGCAGGTTGGGCAGCTGGGCATTGACCATGGGCTGGGGCTGGGCGTACAGGCCGGGGTCGCCCTGCGGGTTTCCCTGAGGGGCCCCGCCACCGCCGCCGGGCGAGCTGGGCCGGTACTTCTCCACGTAGGGGACGGGGATCATCCCGATGCGTCCGTCCTGGCTGGCGGCGCTCCACCACTGGTCCTCGGGCTTGTCCAGGATGCGCAGCACGTCTCCCACCTTGAACGGCAGGTCCTCGTCATCGTTGCCAGGGAAGTTAAAGACCGCCCGGACAAACTCCTGCTCCTTGGTCTGCTGGGGGGTGGCGGGCGGGGCCGGAGCGCTCCTGGACTTCTCAACCGGCTCACACAGCGTGGTGGTGTCCAGGTAGTGGACCTTGTAGAACTCCAGCAGAGCGGGCAACTCCGGGAACGACTCCTCCCCGATCTGGAACCGATTGGTCTCCACACCTGACAGACAGACGGCCTCC